AGAGGGAGGGAGAGGGAGAGAGAGATAAGGAGAGTTTTCCATTTGCTAGTTTACTCCCCCAAATGGCTACAAGAGCCAGGGCTAAGCCAGGCCAAAGCAAGGAGCCAGGAACCCCATCCAGGTCTCCCATACGGATTTTAGGGACTCAAGCACTTGGGCCGTCTTCTACTGCTCTCCCAGGTGCATTAGCAGGGAGCTGGCTCACAAGAAGAGCAGCCAGGACTTGAACGGGCAATCTAACACAGAACGCTGGCATCACAAGTGGTGTCTTAACACAATGCCATCCCCCCCATTTTGCATTTTAAATTTGCACCATTTATTATACACAAATCAAAACTCAATAGAGTTGTTTAAAAAGCAATGCCCATGGGGCTGGCACTGTGGCGCAGTGGGTAAAGCCACCGCCTGCAGTGCTTGCATTGCATATGGGCACCGGTTCAAGTCCTGGCTGCTCCACTTCCGATCCAGCTCTCTGCTGTGGCCTGGGAAAATAGCAGAAGATGGCCCAAGTTCTTGGGTCCTTGCACCCTTGTGGGAGACCCGGAAGAAGCTCCTGGCTCCTGGCTTTGGATTGGCGCAGCTCCAGCCATTGCGGCCATTTGGGGAGTGATCCGGAAGAAGGACAACCTCTCCCTCTGTGTCTCTACCTAAACTAAAACCAACTCTCTCAGTAGAGAGACAGGGAGCAGGTCTTTGGCTGACAGCAGCTCTTCTCTCAGCGCCTGCCGGCGACACGTGTTCCAAGAGGAAGAGGAGGCACGTGATGGAGGGAGAATCTGAGCTGCATCCCCTGCACTGTGTGTCTTTTGTCTTCTTGCCCCAGCTCTTCTCTGCCACCCCACCCACCAGACAGGATCTTGGGCCACACCCGGGAGCAGGAGTAGGGCTCTGAAGAAGTGCTGAAGTCGGGAGGGAGCAGAGGTGTGAAAGGTGGTGTGAGGAGAGGAGAGGAGAGGAGAGCCAGGGTGGCCAACACTGGGACCAGGCTGCGGGGGTGGCCCCCTGGAGGCCAGGAGGTCAGAGACTCTTCTCAGGGAATGGCATCCGCAACCAATCACAGCCAGGCCACAGGCACCACGGATCCACCCGGAACTGGGACGCGAGCGGATCACGCACCTCTCAGCCCGTTTCAGACTACAAGAACCTTCACCGCTGCTGCCTTGGGGAGCCCGGGGGGCTCCTTGCTCTGTGCTTTGCAATAAGTGTCTACTTCCTTGCACCTCCCCGACGTCAGTGATTGGCTTTCTGTGGGTCAGGCAAGAGGACCCAGGTTTGGGGGCTCTCTACAGCAACTTTGGCAACACAGCTCTACCTTCATGGCTTCCCCAGGCCTCACTGCCGCGGGTGGCGCATCCCGCACTCCCCACGGACAGGCTGAGACTACCAGGCCCCCGGAAGCTCCTTCACGCGGTGGAGCTAATGGCCACTTTTCAGCTTTCATTAACTTGATTTCTGAGCACGTCTCTCTGGAAACGCACACTCTTTAAAAATGTCACCTGCGCCACCTCACTTTCCAGCTTCCTCTTCTACTTCGTCCTCTGCTTACCGTCTCCTTCAAGGCTCCCAGTTCACCGTCGTTTCTTTTAGGGTGGGGACATGGCCTGCCACAGCACCTGGCTGCAGCAGGATGATAGGAAGTGGGTGAGTGCATGGCCAGCCGGCCCATCAGCTCACACCAACAGCAGGAGTATCCCAGCCCAGGGGGTGCCAATGCCAACCTCGTCTCACCCACCCCCAACAAGCGCTTTTTGAAGCAGTTCCCTGATCAAAAAAGTGATGTTCAGGGCTGACACTGCGGTGTGGCGAGGACAGCTGCTGCCTGCAATGCTGGCATCCCATAGGGGAAGCTGGTTCATGGCCCAGCCGCTCCACTTCTGATCCAGATCCCTGCTAATGGCCTGGGAAAAGCAGTGGAAGATGGCCCAAGTTCTTGGTCCCCTGCACTCACGTGGGAGACCGGATGAAGCTCCTGGCTTCGATTTGGCCCCACTCTGGCCATGGCAGCCATCTAGGGAGTGAACCAGTGGACGAAAGATCTGTCTCTGCCTCTCTCTCTCCTCTCTCTCTCTGTAACTAACTTTCCAAAATAAATTAAAAACTTTTTTTTAAGAAAAGTTGATGTTTGCTGGAAAAAAATAAATGTGCAAACTGTAGTGAAATATCTGGTGAAGATATTCCTCTAACACACACACACACACACACAGATATTTCTTATAAGGATGCAGATACTTTAAGTGTTAAACCTACCGAGCAATGAAAACTGTAACAGTTTGTACCCAGCCAAGTGTAGAAACCAGAGTTCCTGTCCAGCAGCTGAGAGCGCTCCCAAGTCTGCATTGCGGTGAGAAAATAAACAGCCTTGCAGACACACAAAACCTGCATTTAGTTCTCGCTCTGCTCTCTGCTCTCCGGGGGCCAGTCAACAAGCCAGCTGACCGGCGGGCGTGGCTCACCGGACGGTGCCACCTCCGTGCCTTAGCGTCTCCGGGTGAGGAGGGGAGCGTGGGTCCGTTTGGGGGCTGTGCAGTCAACACAACAGGGAGCTCAGTTCTTACGCTTGGCTCTCTCGGGCAGAACTCCTGCCTGGCACAAGGCAATAGCGAGGGAGAGAGACGAGGGGCCGGAAGGCGCTTCTCCCGCTCTTCCTGCTGTGTACCTTTTTGTCACTAGTATGCAACAAGGCATACTGATACAGGGAGAGGCAGTTTGGTAGGAATCTCACAGGGGAAGTTTGTATTATTTAATCTAAAAAAGGGGGTGGGGTGGGGGTACAGCAGTGGCAGCCCGCTGCCTGGGCTGCCTGTGTCCCGAGGAGGAGGTCCTGGTGTGAGTCCTGGCTACTGTGCTTCTGATTCCTGTTTCCTACCACTGCACATCCTGGGAGGTAGCAAGTGATGGCTCCAGGACTGGGGTTTCTGCCACCCACAGGGAGACATGCTTTCCCAGGCCATAGCAGAGAGCTGGACTGGAAGAGGAGCAGCCGGGACTAGAACCTGCGCCCACATGGGATGCTGGTGCCGCAGGAGGCAGCTTTACCTGCTACACCACAGCACTGGCCCCCTATTTTATTTATTTATTTTTTTGACAGGCAGAGTGGACAGTGAGAGAGAGAGTCAGAGAGAAAGGTCTTCCTTTGCCGTTGGTTCACCCTCCAATGGCCGCTGCGGCCGGCGCACCACGCTGATCCGAAGCCAGGAGCCAGGTGCTTCTCCTGGTCTCCCATGGGGTGCAGGGCCCAAGCACTTGGGCCATCCTCCACTGCCTTCCCTGGCCACAGCAGAGAGCTGGCCTGGAAGAGGGGCAACCGGGACAGAATCCGGCGCCCCGACTGGGACTAGAACCCGGTGTGCCGGCGCTGCAAGGCGGAGGGTTAGCCTAGTGAGCCGCGGCGCTGGCCCCTATTTTATTTTTATATTCATTTTTATTGCATTTTACTAAAGTAGCCCACATGAGTCTCAAAAGTAGTAGAATAGATCTGAAAAACTCCTATTTATTAAAAAAACATTCTAAGACTGAAAAGCTAAGTCACAGAATGGGAGAAAATACTTGCAACACACACACTAGTTAGGAAGTAGTTCTATAACGTGAAAAATCGATTCAAATAAATTTTTAAAAGGGCAAAATCCTTGAACAGACATTTTCCATAAGGAAATTCTAGTGCCTGGTGGACAAGTGTAAGTGCCCAACTTCACCCTCAGCAGAGGTAGGAAGATTAGAACTCCAGACACCAGACTGGCTGTCCTGAGGGCTGCTGAGGGAGCTGAACCTGCCCTCCCACGCACAGCTGGTGGGGAAGTGCACTGAGCAAAAACCCTTTAGAAAACTCTTTGCTTAGGAAGCTAAGCACACACACCCTGGAGGCACCAACTGCACTCCTAGGACCCCACAGAAATGGGCATACATGGGACGCAGACCATCATGGTGGCCTCATGTGTGACAACCCCCCGTGGAAGAGAGCCACACAGCCACCACCGTCAGACTGGACTAATCGACAGCAAACCACAGCAACATGGCGCCCGACTCACAGCCGTGGCAGCTCCCAGCTGTCCTAAGAATGCAGTGTTGGAGTCACCACCTCTGTGGGGCCACCCAGACGTCAGGGGGACCACAGGGGGCCTCCGGCTGAGTCAGGCACAGGAGCCCTAAGCCAAGGTTGGCGACGGAGCTGCCAAGCCTCATATCAGGTGCAGTGCCCCCAGTGGGGGTGGGGAGGCCAGGCCTGGCTGTGGCTGAAGACACCGCTGCGCAAGAGAGTCGGGGCGGGGCGGGGCGGGGCACTGCGGATACCTGGGCCCTCCAAGAATGTGATGATGCCAGAACCGGAAATTAGATTGCGTCTATAGGGAACCGAGTGTTTGCCACAACTGCCCTTGGAGTTTCAAGGAAATATTCAGACTCACAGGACCGTCCCTGGCCACACCTGGCTCTAGGAAGGGGACACAGCACAGGGCAGGTGGGGAGGGCCCACATGGCTATCCCAGGGTTAGTCTGCTCGCCTGCCCCTCCGGCTCTGGCCTCCCACGACTGTGCAAGGAGCCAGGCTGGCAGGCGTGCATATGGGCCCACCTGGGTTCCAAGTCCCGCACCCACTCTTCCACCAACCACACAGAACGGCTCTCAAGGACCCCACAAGGGTCAAGTGCAGAGAGAAGAATGGGCAACCCAGCGAGGCCCAGAGCCGGCTGCCTCTGATGTATTTGCCATGGTCCTCACGGTCACGAGAGGCTCATTTTTACCCCAAGCCCTGCTGCTTGGCACCCACGGCTTGCGGTCCACCTTGTCCAGCTTTCCAGGGAGACAAGCTAGAAAGCTAACCCAAGGTCAACGCCATCCCAAGGGGCGAGGAGGGTTTGCTGAGGACGATGAAGGGCTGGGTCACGGTGGTGCTGCAAGCCCACAGCTCAGCAAACAGGTGGGAACGGCTTTTTGCAGAGGAGCATGGCCGTGTGGCCCTGTGGAGGGGGAGGCGGTGGCGGCAGCAGCCGGCCCGGGGCACTTACCCTTACCGCAGGCCTGCACCAGGCCGTACCACTCCCCGCAGCTGTTACAAAGCAGGGTGAAGGCGGTCTCGCGCTGGCCGGTGGCTGAGCCCGGGGCACACATGTACAGCAGCTCATCCCCCATCTCCAAGCCGGTGCGGCCCTGCAGGACGGTGTGCGGGAACGAAGGCGGGTCTCCGCACGGCTTCTCTGCGGAGAGGGAACCGCGGTCAGCTTGGCCAAGGGGTGCCCAGCCTGGGAGAAAGCGATCAGGTCTCCCCTGCCACTACCCGCCACCCCCGGCCTGCACCCCGAACCGCGCTCACAGGGGCCGCCTCTGGGTCACCCTGGTGAGTCGGGGCCTGGCAGAACGCCGGGCACAGCTGAGGCACAGAGAAGTCAAATGGGGAAGAAAGCGTCGCAGCGCTGTCATCCTAAACCGCCGGGCAACAGCTCCTGGGAAGAGCCAGAGGCCCGTGGCTGGCGGCGGACGCCTTATTTAGGGAAATAAACACGTGGCTGCTCCTGGTCTGAAGCTAGTGTGTTAGGCTACAGAGGGCAGCACAAGGGCCTCCCCTCTGCCCATCTCAACCCCGACCAACTCAGTGACCGGTAGGTGTGTACAAAAGACGCGCACACACTCACACAGGTACAAGCGGTCTTCAGAGGTCGTTCATCCACTGGTTCACTCCCCAAATGTCTACAACAGCTGAGGCTGGGCTAGGCTGGAGCCAGGAGCTAGGAACTCCAACTAGGTCTCCCACATGGCTGTCAGGGACCCAAGTACTTGGGCCCTCATCTGCTGCCTCCCAGGAGCGTCCCAGCCGGTTCAATAAGGGATGCAGGTGTCCTAGGCAGCAGCTTAAACTTCTATGCCGTAAGGCTCACCTGCAAACTTATTTTTGTTTCTGGGGCAGGGCATTGGACGTAGCGGATAAAGCCGCCGCCTACAACACTGGCATCCCATATGGGTTCAGGTTCATGTCTGGCTGCTCCATTTCCGACCCAGCTTCATGCTAATGGCCTAGGAAAAGCAGTGGAAAATGGTCCAAGTGCTTGGGCCCTACCACGCATGTGGGAGCCCCGGAAGAAGCTCCTGGCTTTGGATTGGCCCAGCGCGAGGGCATTGCAGCCATCTGGGGAGTGAACCAGTAGACAGATGATCTCTCTCTCTCTTTTATCTCTTCTCTCTCTGTAACTCTGGCAAATAGAAAAATTTTTTAAAAAATGTGTTGGTGCATATGCTCATATATAAACATATAGATCTATTCTGTGTGGCATTTTAAACATAAATGGGATTACATATGTAAGAGAGGTCCTCAAGAAGTTCATGGAGAGTGTGTATTATGAAAAACTACTGGGTCCAGTGCTGCAGTGCAGTGGGTTAAGCCACAGCCTGTGACGCTGGCATCCGATACGGGCACTGGTTCAAGTCCCGGCTGTTCCACTTCTGATCCAGCTCTCTGCTAATGGCCTAGGAAAGCTGTGGAAGATGGCCCAAGTGATGAGGCTCCTGTACCCATTTGGGGGACCCAGATGAAACTCTTGGCTCAGCCTGGCTCAGCACTGACAATTGTGGTCAGGTGAACAGTGAATCAGTGGACAGAAGATCTTTCTCTGTCTCTCTGTCTCTCTCTAACTCTGACTTTAAATAAATAAATATTTAAAATAAAAGAAAAAGAAAAAACGATGCATGCATTTCAAAATAGTTTTGTCCCAAGACAAACATCTCTCAATTTCATTTTCCCAACAACGGTCTGAAGTGTCGTGGTATTACTGAATACTCGGCCCATTCGCTGGCAAGGGACTGCCAGCTGTGTTGGCTGTGTTGCCACCCTGGCAGAGCAACACACGGGGAGCTGGCTGTGTGCAGACGGCCGAGCAGAGCACAGGGAACAGCCTCCATTGATAAGGACTGCCCTTGTGAGAACTCACACAGTCAGATCAGCGGTACCCCTTCCAGGGGCGGACGCCCAGGACCTGTCCCCGCCCATCAGGCTCCACCTCTTAAAGGTCCACATTACTTCCCAACAATGAGGACAAAGCCTCCAGCACAGGGCAGGTGGGGACAGCACAGAGGAACCCATCCAAACCACAGCACAGCATCTGGCGTGCGAATGTGCACTCTCCTAAAGACACTTAATGTCAAACATCTCAGATGCTTGCTGGCCGTCTGCATGATCTTTATCTGCTCGGGGCTTTTCTCCCAGTGTAATCAGGTTCTGTGATTTATCGCTGTTGGGTTTTAAGAGTTTCCCGCTTATTTTGTGTAAAATCCTTTAGTAGACGGTGACTTTGGTGGTTGGTTCTACCATGCTCTTTTTTTTTTTTTTTTTGACAGGCAGAGTGGACAGTGAGAGAGAGAGACAGAGAGAAAGGTCTTCCTTTTGCCGTTGGTTCACCCTCCAATGGCCACCGCGGCCGGCGCGCTGCGCTGATCCGATGGCAGGAGCCAGGTGCTTCTCCTGGTCTCCCATGGGGTGCAGGGACCAAGGACCTGGGCCATCCTCCATTGCACTCCCTGGCCACAGCAGAGAGCTGGCCTGGAAGAGGGGCAACCGGGACAGAATCCTGGCACCCCAACCGGGACTAGAACCAGGTGTGCCAGCGCCGCAAGGCGGAGGATTAGCCTAGTGAGCCGCGGCGCCGGCTCTATCATGCTCTTGACACTGTCTTTTGAAAAGAAGAATGTTGTTGGCTTTAAAGATGTCTAGCTCAGGGCCAGTGTTGTGGCAGAGCAGGTTAAGCTGCAGCCTGTAACGCTGCCACCCCATAAGGACAAGGGTTCAAGTCCTGGCTGCTCTATTTCCAATCCAGCTCCCTGCTAATGTCCCTGGAAAAGCACAAGAAGATTATTTAAGTGCTTGGGCTCCTGCTACCCATGTGGAATGCCTGAATGAAGCTCCTGGCTCCTGGCTTCAGCCTGGCCCAGCCCTGACCACTGCAGCCATCTGGGGAGTGAACCAGCAGATGAAGACCTCTCTCTCTGTCTCTGTCTGTCCGTCTGTCTGTCTCTCTCACTGTGCCTTTCAAATAAATAAGTAAATTAATGTGGGGCTGGCACCATGCTTCACTTGGTTAATCCTCTGCCTGCGGCACTGGCATCCCATTTGGGCTCCGGGTTCTAGTCCTGATTGCTCCTCTTCCAGTCCAGCTCTCTGCTGTGGCCCAGGAAGGCAGTGGAGGATGGCCCAAGTGCTTGGGCCCTGCACCCGCGTTGGAGACTAGGAAGAAGCACCTGGCTTCTGTCTTCGGATCGGCGCAGCTCCGGCCATAGTGGCCATTTTGGGGGTGAACCAACGGAAGGAAGACCTTTCTGTCTCTCTCACTGTCTAACTCTGCCTGTCAAAAAAAGAAGTTTTAAAAAAATAAACAGGCCGGCGCCGCAGCTCACTAGGCTAATCCTCCGCCTAGCGGCGCCGGCACCCCGGGTTCTAGTCCCGGTTGGGGCGCCGGATTCTGTCCCGGTTGCCCCTCTTCCAGGCCAGCCCTCTGCTGTGGCCAGGGAGTGCAGTGGAGGATGGCCCAGGTGCTTGGGCCCTGCACCCCATGGGAGACCAGGAGAAGCACCTGGCTCCTGGCTTCAGATCAGCGCGGTGCGCCGGCCGCAGCGCGCCGACCGCGGCGGCCATTGGAGGGTGAACCAACGGCAAAAGGAAGACCTTTCTCTCTGTCTCTCTCTCTCACTGTCCACTCTGCCTGCCAAACAAAACAAAACAAAACAAAACAAAACAAAAAAAACCAAGTCTTTTTTTTTTTAAAAAAAAAGATGTCTAGCTTATCAATGTGTTCTTTTCAAAACTATTTATTTACTTATTTCAAAGGCAAAGCAACAGAGATAGAGAGAATGGGACTCAAATAGACACTGTAACGTGGGATGCGGTGTCGTAAGCAGCGGCTTAACCTGCTCTGACACAACACACGCCCCTAGTTGTTCTTTTAAATCACAGAGACCCATGATCTCTTCTCTGTTTAAGGTTTATTTATTTCGGGGCTGGCGCTGTGGCACAGTGAGTTAATGCCCTGGCCTGCGGCGCCAGCATCCCATATGGGCGCTGGTTCTAGTCCCGGCCACTCCTCTTCCAATCCAGCTCTCTGCTGTGGCCTGGGAAAGCAGTAGAAGATGGCCCAAGTCCCTGGGTGCCTGCACCCACTTGGGAGACCCGGAAGAAGCTCCTGGCTCCTGGCTTTGGATCGGCGCAGCTCCGGCCATTGCGGCCATCTGGGGAATGAACCATCGGACGGAAGACCTCTCTCTCTCTCTGCCTCTCCTCTCTCTGTGTAACTCTGACTTTCAACAAAATAACTCCAAAGATCGAGTTACGAAGAGAGAAGGAGAGACAGAGATCTTCCATCCGCTGGTTCACTCCCCAGATGCCTGCAACTGTCAGGGATGGGCCAGGCCAAAGCCAGGAGTCAGGAACTTCATCCAGGTCTTCCATGTGGGTGGCAAGGGCCCCCATACACTTGAGCCATCTTCCACTGCTTTCCAAGGTCATTAGCAGGGAGCTGGATCAGAAGTGGAGCAGCCAGGACTTGAACTGCTGCCCATATGAGACGCTGGCATTGCAGAGGGCACCTTAACCCACTATACCACAAGGCTGGCCCATTGCTATTTTCTAATATACACGTATGCCTAGTTGTTTCAACATTTATGTTAACAAAACTATCTTTATTGTTTTGCTCCTTTATCAAAGGTCTGTTGACTGTATTTCTGCGAGTCTCTGGCTGGGCTCTCTGTTCTGTTCTGTTGAGCTCTTAGTTTATTCTCTTGCCAATGCCACACTGCCTTGCTGGCTGTAGTTTTTCTTTTTTAAAGATTTTTTTTTTAAATTTGAAAGACAGAGTTACATAGAGAGGTAGAGACAGAGACAGAAAGAAAGGTCTTCCATCCACTGGTTCACTTCCCAAATGGCCACAAGGGCCGGAGCTGGGCCAATCTGAAGCCGTGAGCCAGGAGTCTTCCAGGTCTCCCATATGGGTGCAGGAGCCCAAGGACTTGGGCTATCCACTGCTGCCTTTCCAGGCCATTAGCAGAGAGCTGGATCAGAAGTGGAGCAGCTGGGACTTGAACCATCGCCCATGTGGGATGCTAGCGCTGCAGGTGGAGGCTTAACCTACTATGTCTCAGCATTAGTCCCAATTGCTCTAGTTTTTTTTTTTTTTTTTTTTTTTTTTTTTGCCAGGCAGAGTTAGACAGTGAGAGAGGG